ACATCAGCTGCAATGTTGTAAAATATTTCACCAGAAAGCTTCTCATCTCAATCAGTTAATGTTCATTCCATCTCAAATGATCAGACTTTTACAACAACTTCTGCTCAACCATGACATTTTTGATTGATATATCAAATAGAAATATATTTTTAAAAAATTCCTGTCTATCCACTTTCAGGTTGTTTTTATTTTGGACATTAAAATTTGAGCCTGTGTGAACAACAATATCTCAGGAACTATTACAGATAAAAGCCCGAAATATTTTGCTGTTATTTCTCATCATGTCATTGATCCAGGCATTGTTTTAACTGGTGATATTTTCTGATCCATATGTAGCTGCACGTCATCAAAATACAAAACATTTTCTATACTGAAATATATTTTTGTTGAACTTACATTAATGACTGAGCGAGTGTGACAAATTGAACTACAAAAACTAAAATACAGGTAGATGGTCTGATCCAAGTAGAACATAGTTCTGGAGTTTCAAAACAGTTCACTGAATCTACCCAAAATTCAGTTTAAAGAGCCGAAAAGAGTGGGTCAACGAGGTATTAAAAATAAAATAAAAAATAAATAAAAAAGAGAAATCTCGGAAACCGTTTGATATATCAATCTAAAGTTTTACAGATAACAATTTAAATACCCATAGTTCATGATAAAAATGTTTAAAGCAAATCAGAGATGGTCGAGCAGAAGCCTTTGATGGTTTGAGATGTAATAATCCTTAATGCAGCAACCCAGACAGCTGAGAGACCAAAAATAAGTTTGAACAGAGTGAAATACAGTGTTCCATTTCAGATTTAACTGAAACCCGGTGATTTTATCCACCTGGACGGGTCAGAAACACACAGACAGACCTGCTAATATATCAGGAGCACTGCTGACCAGCGTTCAGTCGCATTTCACAGGTTTTTGTGCAACAACATGGTTGTATGTTCTGTGTATGTTTTGTGTGTGGAGGTTTTTGCTGTGATCTTACAACCCCTCAGTGTTACCTTGAGGACCCCTGTTAAGGTCACAGCCCTCAGGTTTGAAACCTCAGAACTTCTTTGACAGTTTTCACAACCAGCAAATGGATTTAAAAATTGACCTTTAAAAGCCAAACATAGCTATGATGAATCCCAGTAGTTTTGCTTTCACACCAAAAACAAACCCACACCAGCATCCCTTTAAAAAACTGCTGTTTTAGTCAGCACCAAAGTTTTATTTTCAGCAACCTGAACAAACCAAACGGCACCAATTTAGGAGAAACAAGCAGCCTGAAAGATGTGTTGTTTAGAAATAAGAGTTTTCACGGTTTTATAGGCATTTTTAGAGACATGAGACAAACAGTGATTGATTTATTTTAAACATCGTTATTTCTTTGTCATGACGGCAGGTTTAGATCAGGACACAAAAACTGGATTCAAGATTCGTCGAATTCTTTGAATTCATGCAGTCAAAGGTGAATTCCTTGTTCACATTTGACTGAGAAAAAAAAGTAATCATATGGCTGCGTGTTTAGTCAACATTTAACACACAAATCAGATGCTTACTTTGGCTTCTTAGAAAAAAAAAAGAAAAGATTGTATAGAAAAACAGGTTTTTGCGCATCAAAGTCAAAAACTTGTCATAAATTATCCTGACAACAACGATATTGGCGTTTCATTGCTGCTGTACGGACATCTATGCCTGCCAGCGTTAAAATTAAACCATTTAATCAAACAAGATAGCACATCTCACACTGTATATCCAGATGTAATACATTTCAAAACTTATGTTTATCATTTTAATTTCATTAAACAACTTTAATTGAATTTTGCCAGCCACAGGCCTCCACAGAATAAATGAATATACTACGTAATGTTCCTTCATGACATTTAGCCTTTGCTCTTTTTTTTAAATTAATGTTTGTAAATGTTTAGTTCCTAAATTTTACACCAAAACTTTGGACCTTTAAGCCTCTGCTTGTGTTTTTTCCATTTCAGTTTGACTAATAGATTTTGATGTAATATTGGCAGCCAGAGGCCTCCACAGAGAGAAACAGCCATATAACAGTAAGTGATACTGTAATTATTTTGTTCCTTTGGACCCATATGTCCCTGTAAAGGTTTACTTTAAGCAAAATTGAAAGAAATTAAACATTTAACTTTTGTACCATTAGACCTCCACCCTGTACTTTAAGCACACCTATAGAGGGATTAAAACAAGCCGCCCAGCGCATTTAAAGTTACCATGTTCCACCGTGAAAAGCAAGCTGTGTAGTGGTCAACACCTTCTAAATGTCCGATTATAAAAAGACAACTGGAGAAGGACGCCAAGAATTGCACACGTCTGATTTCTCATCCTAAATATCGAGCTGCGTCCCGGCAGGAAGGCGTGGTCGGTCCACGGTGGTTTCCCTAAAGGGGGCTCGAACTGTGGAGGTAAAGACGCCGAGCGCCAGGTCAGATTTCCCAGCAGCACATCATGTCTACCCAATTTAAAGTCCAGTCCCCCTCCGTCACCTCGTCCCGAAGCCAGCAGCGTCCCTCCAGTCTCAGACCAGAGTTTCTCCTCCGTCTGAGGATCTCACAGGAAAGTCTTTGCAGTCTTAGTGAGTCAGTGCCATCAGGTGTGAGATCCTGAAACGTCATCTTCATCGTCCTCTGGCTCGGACAGCGGTCGGGTCATACCTCGTGGAAACAGTCGTTGGGGGGGCTCCGCTCGACTCCTCTCCACCTCTCCATCTTCTTGATGGCCTCGGACACGACGCAGACGGAGGAGGTGAGAGTGACCAGGAACAGCAGGTCTGCAGGAGGAACACAGTTTGTTCACTCACATTTAAACACACTGCTACTCAACTACTACTCAACACTTTCATTTAATTAATCGGAATTCTGGTTTGACTGAGCAAAAGGGCTAGGAAAAAAATCCCAAAAAACACAAACACACACAAAACAACCACAATGAGACACAAAATGACCACAAGGACGGAAAACAACCACAAAGAGACATAATATGACCACAAAGAAACAACAAATGGCCAGAAAGAGACAAATTATCTCAAAGAGACAGAAAACCACAAAGAGACACAAAATAACTCAAAGGCACACAAAATTACTATAAAGGCACAACAAACAACTGCTAAAAGACACAAAACAGGTACGTAGACTCAAAATGACCAAAAGGAGTCAAAACAAGTTGGCAAAGAGACAAAAAACAACCACAAAGAGACAAAAACAACCACAAAGAGACACAAAACTACATAGACACCAAATTATCCACAAAACAATCACCTAAAGACACAAAACACTAAGGATGCAAAATGACCACAAAGACACACAAAATAAGAGAAAGAATACAGGCACAAAGACTCAAACAACCAACAAGAGTCAAAATACATTCCAAGAGATGAAAAAACAACTACAAAGAGACAAATAACGAACACAAAGAGAGAAAAAATGACTCCAAAGAAACAGAAAACTACTACAAAGAGACACAAAACAACCACAAAGGACAAAAAACACACAATCAGACAAGAAAATGACCACAAAGACACAAATAATAACCACGAGACAATAAATGACCACAAAGAGACACAAAATTGGCATAAAGACACAAAAAATTGCTGCAAAAAGACAACCCCACCCCCTCCCAAAAAAAACCCACTTACAAACAGCCAAAATAATTATCACAAAGAGACACGAAACAGGCATAAAGAGACACAAAATGGGCACAAAGACACAGATGATCGCAAAAACACAAAAGAAACGCCAAAAAACTATTGTTGTAAACTATGTTGTAATTCTGAAGCTGCTCCTGTATCACATTTTTTCTAGTGAAGCTTTCCTTTGAGACAACGTGTCTTACCGAAGATGCTGAGGCTCTCTGTCTGGAAGACGTTCTGCAGAGGAGGGAAGTAGATGACGAGCAGCTGACCCATGATGGAGGCCAGGACAGCGTAGCAGAACGTCCTGTTGCTGCACAGTCCCATCTCGTGGACCATACGAGTCTGACAGACACACAACAAGCACACGCATAGTACAACACTGCAGGTGGATGGTTTAAAAGGTTTAAAAATACAGTAGAAAAGGAAAACGGATGTAAATCCTAAACTTGATTATTATTGGGTTTTTTTTTACTGCTGAACAATAACAACTTGGAAGCAGATGCAAACAGTCATGAATTAACTTTCCAAGCAGCTTGATATGGTTTTATTTGTAGGTACAAAGGTGCGCGTTTACCTGAGAACGTGAGCTCAGAGCGTTGAACATGTCAAAGAAGACGAAGCAGGTGAAGGTCATGGTGGTGTCTCGAGGAGTGATCACGTTGTCCTGCAACTGGAGACACAAACAGACAATCAGCTGGAGGACGTCTGACTGGCAGTGAACTGGTAAAGTCCCAGTTTAACCAGTTTAACACGAGGAGGCAGAAAGAAACTCCAGTTAAGAGTTTTTCTGTGTGTGTCTGTTTATGTCTGTGTGCTTCTTTGTTTTCGGTGTGTTTGTGTATATATGTGTGTGTGTTTACGCAAGTGTGTCTGTGTATCTCCGTGCATCTATGTGTGTCAGTGTCTGTTTCTGTGTGCATGAGTGTTCATCTATGTGTGTTTTTGTGTGTCTGTGCGTTTTCTGTTTTTTTTGTTTGTGTCTGTGTGTAACTGCATGTGTCTGTGTTTGCACATGTGTGTGTTTGTGTGCCTCTCCCTTTGTCTTTGTGCGTGTCTATGTCTACGCGCGCATGTCTGTGAGCATTTGCCTGTGTGGCTGTATGTGTGTGTGTGCGTTTCTGTGCTTTTGTGTTCCTCTGTGTGTCTGTGTTTGCAAATGTGTGTTTCGTTGTTTGTGTGTGTCAATAAGAGCAGAGGGGGTGGGTGTGTGTGTGTGTTTGTGTGTCTGTCTGTACAAACAGAAAGAAACATCAGACTTTTGTGAGACACTTGGTGAAGGTGAGCTGAAGGCAGAGCAGTCAGTTGTCATGCTAAAGGCAAGGGCAGGAAGTAATAAAGATTGATGAGGTGGTGAATACTGAATAATGAATAGGTGAATGATAAACAGTGAGGTGGTGAATGATAAATAGTGAGGGGGTGAACCTCTCTCCAGAAGACGAACAGCGTCCCGCAGACGATGATCAGCGCCGACACCAGCACTTTGACGAGGAGGCTGCGGGTGATGATGCTGTCTCCAACGTTGCGGGGAGGTTTCCTGATCACGTCTCGGTCCACAGGCTCCACCCCTAGACTGAATACACACGTCACAAACATGTCAAGACACCCACAGCTTCACAGCTTCCTTCAATTCCTCCTGCAAAAACCCCACTTGACTTCTCATGCAAACATCGCAGGAACATGACGAAGGCACTCGGTGCAATACATTGAACTTATCCAATATAATAAATTTAATTTGTACCTGGATAAATTGGGATTTCAAAAAGCAGCCTAAAATAAGCAGAGGTTATAGAGGTTATGCTGCAGGATGAAAACCACAAACTAACCGACACCTTAGGCTGAGCATTAGTTTCGTTTGTTTCTGTCGATGTTGTGTTCCTAGTTTCTCCATGAGTCTAATGAGATAACAATCTAATCAAAAAATACAGAATTACACATATTACTGTCTCATTAAACATTTTTATTATCATATATTGTGGCTGAAAACACTATTCCTGGTTGCCATGAACAGCCTTTAACCCTCTGAAGTCCAAGCAGTTTCTGGGTGTTTTTTTTTTTTTTTTGCTTCTGTCATATTTTTCCTCACTTTGCAATATAAAGTCCTGCACCTCTAGGTGTTGCCTCAGTTATGGAGAAAGCTCAGTTTTTTTAGTTTTTTAAAAGATCTGCTGCAAACACTGTGTTTGTAGAGAATTTCTGGATCAAATATGTAAAATAAAGGGATTTAAGCTTTATTCTTTTATTTAAGGACCACTGGAAAGCCCAAAATCTGATGTGTCTCTCTGTTTTTACAGTTTCTGACAAAAAAAATGACGCCATTTCGTGATTTTTAAAAGAAAACATGCCTTTGAAACCCACTGATGGAGCCAAAGCAGCATTTACAAACTTCTAATTTCACATGGGTAGCTTAAAGCTTTAAGCCAAACGTACACTTTCATAATTAATAGGCAACTTGCTTTACATGTAAATGATGATATCCACACACCAGGCGGCGCTGCAGAGAAGGTTTAAAATATCTTAAAACAGAATTTCAAGAATTTCATCGAGTTTGCTGTTTAGTTATATTTTAATTTAAACTCTAAAAATAACTCTCAAAATGTTGCCTCCATCTTCTGTATTATTTGAATCATCTGACATTAAAACAGCTTTCCCTTGAAAACACAAAGCAGCAAAAAAGACAACAACCAAAAAAAAAAAACCCTAAGTGTTTTGTTTGTTAAGGTCTAAATACTGTTTTCAGCTTGGGTTGCTTTTTAAACTGGAACAAGCTTTCAGTCTTAACATTACATTTCCCATGATGCCACTCTACCTCTGAGCCGGAGGTCCGTCCATGATGATGTTGATCCACAGGATTTGCATGGCGTTCAGCGGGTTGGGGAAGTTCATCAGCGTCGCCAAGGAGATGAGTGTCAGCGCTGCGATACTCCTGATGACCAGCAGGGGAGGACACACAGAGAGTCAGTTATATTACACCAAGCGTGAGCAGCATTATGCAAAAACTACAGAGCACTTTTACAAACTGCACTTTTGTGCAGACCTGGATCACGGTCTTCTAAAGCACAAACAAGCCTTGGCTGGTTTTAGTTAAGAACCTAAAATCATAAGTGTTAAAAACATTCATGACTCTGTTTTTCTACTCACGTGCTCAGCTGGAAGCGAACAAAATTTTTGATGTTGTTGTAGATTCCTTTTCCCTCCTCGATGGCTGACCTGTAAGCAGAGAATAGATTTAGAGAAAGTTTCATTTTAAATTCAAAATACAATATTTCTGAAATATTGTTCTCTTCTGTACTTTAGTCTCTCATTGTTTTACTGTTTACATGTCTCATTATCAGCTTTTCAGTCACCTGTACAGCATCTTGAATAATTCTGACTTGTCTAGAAGTTTTAGTAAAAATGTCGCCTCATCGACTGATTGATAGCAGACGTGCACTTTGTCAGATTTAATGTGAATACGTTTTTTTTTTAACAAATTCTCTTGTGCGAACTAAATAATGGGGGCTCGTCTGGGTTTAAGAAACCAGCTTGGAAGTGACCAAAATTTTTTGATGTTGTTGTAAATTCCATTTCCCTCCTTGATGGCTGATCTAGAAGCAGAGGCTTGATACTTTATTTTATAATGCATATATTGAGGTGGAACAGTGAATTCATGTATTTTAATAACTGATCAATCACGTTTTTCCAGGCAAAAACACCGAACATTTTTAGGTTCTCCAAATAAAAAGACTTTCTTTTTTGATCCATGTTAGTGCACTGAATATATGTTGTTCAAAACAAGCTTTCTGAGAACATCAGCTTTGGTTTTGGGAATGTGTAAGAGATGTCTTACAAGAAGTGAAGAGAGCAGACTGATAAGATGCTGAGAAGAATTTTAGAATTAAATTACTGCAAACCCGACACAAAGACCAGACTCTCCAGCATGCTTTAGGGTTGTCACATTCAGGGTTAAGACTCTCCAGGGTTTTACTCACATGATGGTCTGGAAGTCGTCGTCCACCAGGATCATGTCGGCCGCCTCCTTGCAGACGTCGGTGCCCGTCTGGCCCATCGCCACCCCGATGTCGGCGGCCTTCAGAGCCACGGCGTCGTTCACCCCGTCGCCTGTCATGGCCACCACGGCGCCAATGTTTTGCAGGGACTGCAGAAAGGCGGCACTTTAATTTCAGTAAACTCACTGACAAATGAAGAGTGTTTTACCAGAACCAAGAACATAAGCACATCGCTTCTATTTCAGCCTCTTTACTCTTGGTCCCACTATGTTTAAGGCGAGATTTAAAGATTTTACAGATTAGTTTTATTTCTGATCTTTTAGTACCACATGCGCCACTCTGAGATCCTCGGGCAGATGCCTTCTGTCTGCTCCAGTCTCAACTTCAAACATACATTTTTATCCTAATTTTAGTTTTTCTTTGAACTGTCTTTCAACAACACTTTTACCTCTTCTAACAGTGTATTGTTTTTTTTGCACACTATGTTGTTTTCTTGATCTGACTTTAAATTCTGATGATTTTATGACTCGTCCGTTTTGTTTAGCTGTCGTGTAAAGCACTTTGTAACCTGGATTTTGAAAAGTGCTTAATAAATAAAGAGGATTACTATTAAGTCTACAACCTAGTCTTAAAACGAAGAGAAATCATGGTTTTATTATTTTAATATCAACGCTCTGGAACAAGTTCCCACCTACAATCAGAAAAATTCAGTGAGTGCCTACTGTATACTGTATATATAACTTATCTTATTTTTTTATACTTAAATCTCTTCTATTTTTCATTTTTTTGCTCTTTATTTTGTACTTATTATATATGCCACTGAAGGAGCTGCTCTCAATCTCATTGTACATGTGTATAGTGACAATAAAGGCATTCTATTCTATTCTATTCTATTCTATTCTATTCTAGGTAAAAAAGTTTTTAAAAGCACACCTTTAAAGAAAGATGTTTCTACTCATTTATTATTATAGCCCTTTTGGAGTTATTGTCTACGTTTAATGTCTTATTGTTGTTTTTTTTAATGCTTTGTATATTGTATTTGTGGCATATTTTGCACGTGTGATCTGTCTAAAATTTCAAAAATATATTATCCACATGTTATTTCTGATATTACTTTATATGGACTCCAATATTGATTTAAATTAACTTTTGCTTTGCTGCTAAACTCTGGAAACATTAATTGTGTGAGACCGACACTGTGTAAAAAAAAACAACAGTTATTGTGTGTCCTGCTCACCTTGACAATCTTCAGCTTGTGTCTGGGACTGGCTCGATAAAACACAGCTATCTGAGGAGAGAACGACACAAAGAAGAGAAGATGTATTCAGAGTTGGAAAGCTGAAAAATCTTCATAGTTATTTGCATGTAATCCTGATCAGTGTTGGGTCATTCCATCTCAAATCACCTAATTTATTAGAACAATTTCTGGTCGACAATTTGACTGAAATTTTTACAGCATAAACTCCGATTATTTCTAAAGATAAGTGGGAAATTCTAGCTTGATACAACAAATACTTTCCAAGATCATTTGAAAAAAAAAATGCCTGTAGATACACTTTCAGCAGGTTTTTTTGCTCATTAAATTTTTAGGATGTTTGAACAACAATCACTCAGGACTCAGGGATGGGAGGAATATTCTGAGATCAAAACTGATATCCCGATTCCAGCACAAGCGAGCGAATAGTTGGCTATTCGGGTGCAGTCCTAGTATGAAAATCCACATTTTAAATTGCCATCTTGCATCCCAGCATCAACACAAACTTAAAATGAACGTCAAACAAACTATGGTTACCATGCCTGTCAAAATAAAAGTTTTTTCAAAATAAAAAATGAGTCCAACCTGAGACGTACATATATTATTAAATTTTGACCAGTTGTCCACGACCCACCCAAAACAGGTCTGCGACCCACTTTTGGGTCGCGACCCACCAGTTGAGAACCCCGTTATAAAATACTTCATATGTTTTATTTTGTATTATTGTGACATGCAGCTCCATATGGTTGTTCAATATTGCAGATTCTGAATAAATGACAGTAAAAATTTCAGGCATTTATCTTTAAAAGTTCCAGAGATACTTTTGTTTCAAAAACATTTTAAATATCCAGAGTTCATGATAAAATGTTTAAAGCAAATCAGAGATGGTTGAGCAGGTTGCCTGTAATGTAATAACTCGTATGTGAATGATAAAATGCTATATACAGTGTAAATTTAGTGAGATGTTGGTGTGTTTGTGCTGTGCTTTCTCACTCTGGGGACGATCTGAGAGAGCTGCTGCAGGTCCAGCTGATCCACCTCATCACCAGACAAACACTGACATCCTTTAGAATACAGACCCAGACGACTGGCTGCACAGGGACAAAAAGACAGTCAGAATTCACAGGTTAACAGCTGTTTTCAGACAAATGATCTAATACTGAATCTCAAAAACCTGACATTAGTATCTTCTTTGTGTATGTGCTGTATGTGCTAATTATTCTGAGTAAACAGCAGCGTTCAGGCGACACTCTGCTGGATTTTCATGTGTAATGATCCTTTAGTAAGAAAGTTAAACAGCAGAGAAGAAGAAGAAGAAGCCAGCTGCTGCTGCCTCTGACCTATAGACACAGCGGTCTCCTGGGAGTCTCCGGTGATCATCTTGATGGCAACTCCGGAGCTGATGAGCGTGCCGACAGCCTCTTTGACCCCTGACCTCGGCGGGTCAATCATGCCCACCAGACCCAGGAAGGTGAGGCTCCCCATCTCAGAACCTGATGCAAACGCCAGCACTGAAGGAACCGAGAGACACACACAGTCAGAGTATTTTCAGTGCCTCTATGCTGAAAGAAACTCTTTAACTCGAGTTATATTTTCACCTCTGAGCCCTGCGGTGCCCATGTAGCTGATCTGCTGCTGGTACAGCTCCCTCTGCTGATGGGTCAGGGGAAGCGTGGATCCTCTGCTGTTGTAGGAGCTGCAGAAGCGAATCACCTGCTCATGAGCTCCCTTCATGAAGTAAACTCCGGCTTTATCCTGAAGAAGGGGACACGTCTTAACTGAGTCATGAGGAAACATGATGTAAATATTGCACTAATAGAGGCAGAAGACAGCGAGGTGCCTCCTTTTTTGCTCCCTGGTCCTGGAATAACTTTCACAAAGAATACTGCTTCAAGATTTTGTTTCACTGGGACAGTTCAAAGCTTTGATCAAAAGATGTTTTTTGTATCTAAATCCCCTGGTTGTTCGACTGTGCTTTACTTTTGTCCCATGTCCCTTGTGTTATGTTTTTATATTACCATATATACACTATATTATGATGTGTCTTCTTGGCCAAGTCTCCCTTGGAAAACAAAGTTTTAGTCTTAAGGAACTTTTTGGTTAAATAGGTCAATAAGAAATGACAAAGGTGTATGTAATCTTTGTTATATTTTTATCTTTATTTTCTTTGTTTCTTTCTATTTTTATATAGCTGCTAATGTGCATTTCCCTGATAAGAGACTGTAAGTTTAAATTTGAGTCTGATTTTAAAATGCACATGAACCATGTCTCCTAACAGCAGCATGTTTTACTCAAAATATTAAAAAGTGTACTGACCTGCTGCGTGCGGTGAACACAGCGAACCGCCATCCACTTCTGCTCTGAGGTGAACGGATTCTCTTCCAGACGGATGTACTCCTGCTGCAGGCTCTCCAGGCCCATCTGCAAGACACAAATGCAGCTGGATCAGACAAACACATCACAGCTGGATGACACTCCAACATTACATCACATCTCACAGCTGGATCAGATTCACATCACAGTTGGATGTGACTCATATCACATCTGGACTACAGTCACATCACATCTGGATGAACTGACGGCACATCACATCTCACATCTGGATCATAGTCTCACAGCTGGATTACAGTCACACATCACATCTGGATTTGACTCCCACATCACACATCATATCTGGACCACAGTCTCACATCTGAATTTGACTCCCACATCACATCTCACATCTGGATCACAGTTTCACAGCTGGATCAGACTCCTATCACAGCTGGATCACAGTCACACATCACATCTGGATGAGACTCACGTCACATCTGGATTTGACTCCCACATCACATCTGGATGAAACTTATGGCACATCACATCTCTCATCTGGGTCAGTCTCAAACAGCACAACTGGATTACAGTCATACATCACATCTGTATTTGATTTTCAAATCACATCACATCTCACATTTGGATCAATTTCACAGCTAGATCAGACTCCCATCACAGCTGGATCACTGTCACACATCACATCCGGATTTGACTCATCACATCACATCACATCACATCTGGGTCACAGTTTCACAGCTGGATCAGACTCCCATCACAGCTGGATCACTGTCACACATCACATCCGGATTTGACTCTCATCACATCACATCACATCTGGGTCACAGTTTCACAGCTGGATCAGACTCCCATCACAGCTGGATCAGACCAACACACTGAATCAGACCCACACAGCTGGATAAAAGTCACTTCAGACATCAAATTTAAAATGTTTTATGGCCATCATATTTTTTCATTATTTTATTCATTCACAGATTTTATTTTGTTTAAACTGAAGTGTCTCACTTTTATCACTTTGACTTGTTTTTTTTATATAGTTAGAAGTATTAATTTATTTGAAATTATTTTTCATTTAATTGCTTCTGTTATGGGCTGCAAGGTGACTTGGTGGTTAGCACTGTTGCCGCACAGCAAGAAGGTCGCCAATTCGCATCCCGGTAAGGACACCCGGGATCTTTCTGCGTGGAGTTTGCATGTTCTCCCCGTGCAGCGTGGGTTCTCTCCGGGTTCTCCGGCTTCCTCCCACAGTCCAAAAACATGTTGAGGTTAATTGGTGATTCTAAATTGTCTGTAGGTGTGACTGTGAGTGTGCTTGGTTGTCTGTCTCTAAGTGTAGCCCTGTGATAGACTGGTTACCTGTCCAGGGTGTCCCCTGCCTTCACCCTGAGTCAGCTGGGATAGACTTCAGCCCCCCGCGACCCTTGTGAGGATTAAGCGGTGTATACATAATGGATGGATGTTTCTGTTATTTATTTCCTCTGTACTTTTCTTTAAATATTTTACTGTTTAAATGCGAACTGTGTCATTATCAGACTGTCACTTCTACAAAAGGTGACTTACAAATAAACATTGATTGATTGATTGATAGTAGACATTGTTTTGTGTTGGATTTAGTGTTAATAAGTGATTATCTCATCTATTTCTCATGTGGTCTTCTGTATGACTATTTGTGTTACTTGGAGTCAATCAGTGTTTGCTGCTTTTGTTAAATACAGTTTGAAGAGATTTTGGTATTTACCATTACATCTATCAAAAAAGAAAAAAAGAAAAGACTCCTCCAGCAACACAGAAAATCACAATACAGACATGATTACGGAATGTAAATACACAAAGCTGGCTGATATAATGCAAATGAAGCAAATGGCAAACAAAGTAAAACATTTACAGGACATAAATGATGCCGAGTTTTGTTTTGTGTCTTTAGTTTGTCACTGATGCTGCCTCAGAACAGATCTCTCATCTCCTGAGCGCACACACAACAATCCAAATAAAAAATTCAAGAGGAGCGAGCTTTAATTTGTGCAGAAATTGATTTACAGTCAGGTGTTTTCTGGAGGAGTCCTGACGGCTGATCTCCCCAGTTAAACCAGTAAAGGGCAGGCGGAGGACTTTGAGCTTTGAGAAACCTTCCTCAGTCAGAGATGATGCAATTCTGTGGACATAATTTGACATCGCGCAAACAGAGATGAAGCTTGCCGAGCTGCAGCTGAGAACATGCTTGAAAGCTAGTTTAACTACATATGAAAACTCCACATTCCAACTCCAACTTGATTTCTAACAGAATTTCTCCAGACTTAGTTACTGTTTGGATGAAAAAGATGCACAAGGTGGTGTTCTGGTGCAGAGTTTTTAACAAAACAGAATACAATTTAAAGCCTCTTTCACTGTCATGCCAGTCAAAGGATTCGTTTTGGCGTCCAAGTGCCACAAAATGAGAAAAGCAGTTTTGTCCCTGCATTTACAACATAGGTTGAACGGCTATTAAACAGTATTTTAAATAAAAATTGTATTTTAATGGATCTAATGAAATCATGTTCATTTTCTTTACTGTTGATAACACTTTGTGTTAGGAAAGATTTTTGTCAGTTATATGGCTCTCCTTTTAATATTCTATTCTATTCTATTCTATTCTATTCTATTCTATTCTATTCAAGTGTGAGGAATAATTCTTGATCTCTGCACTATTTTCAGGGATATTTCACTGCATTTAAGCTCTTATCTTGGTCATTATAAGGACCAGCCATACATGCCGTGTCTTGTTTATTTCAGGCTTTCCAGATTTTCCATCTTTTGATATAATAAAACTTGAAGATATTTTATATTAGCCTTTATATCAAGGGGAAAAAATCACATTAAGGAATTGTGATGTTTTTAGATGTATGGCAGCAGCGATATCTTTCATAATTTTGTAGGGGAGAATGTCTGTAATGTGGAAATATCAGAACCATGATGGTGGAAAATTGTGCGACCTAGAAACTGTGAGAAATATGAGCTTAGTGGATAAACGGAAATAACTGTCATTATAAGTGTGAACATACAGCAGCCTGACAGTACAGGTGACAAACCAGGCAGATGTGGAGCTGAATCTAGTGCTCTCCTTGAGTTTGAGTCTTTCCTCAGTAAACCTGAGCATAATCCAGATTTACTGACATTGCGGGGACAGCTGGCTCAGTGAAGCTCGGCGGTTTGTGTTTTTACCTTCATGGCGAGGGCGATGAGCGCTCCCTCTGTGGGTCGACCCAGCAGGTTTCGATTCCTGATGACTGAATCGTTGCACACACAGCCGGCCTAAAGGCACAAAAAACAAACAAACAAACAAAAACAGTGTAAACAAGCTGTCACTTTATTGCAAATGGATTCTTTGACTTCACAGCAGTCACTACATCTGCACAGTGTAAATAAAGACAAGCTGTCACTGAGACTTGGTTTATTTTTACATCTTGATTTCACTGTTTGGAGCAATACAGTTTGATTTATTAGTCTATATCTTTTAGCTGAACAGACAAAAATGCATGTGATGACTAACTGTTTAAATGTAGATGCCTCCTCATTTTATTGTGATTAAAAGGTTACATAGTTTCCTTAATATAGAACCACCCATTTCAAGGTAATTTTACATCCCAATATTACTGTTAGCTCTGCACACACATCATCCACAATATTATATGCTACAATGATTTTTGTTTGTTTGTTTGCTGTTATTTTGTAATGATTATTGAAGGACATTCACATGCGTAAAAACAAATAAATTTAAATCATGTAGCTGGATAGATAACTCTATTTGCTGGATTTGCAATGCTTATTGTTATTACACACTCATGAAAACAGGTATTCCACATTTCTGTTGTGAAATGCTGTGTTATTATACAAGATATCTCTCATTTACCAAACAAATCAATGTAAAATTACAGAAGCTACTCTTTTTTTCCCTGCTATTTACATTAATTGTATCTAGTTTAACAAATACTGTACTAATCGTATCTAACTCGTTCATAAATTAAGGAGGACTTTTCAGTCAAAAAAGTTACATTTTCTCTGTAAAATAAAGACATTTTATGGGTGTTCCGAGTTACAGAATTTGAATGCTATTTTACATTACATCAGTTTAAAAAAAATTTTCCACAGCTGACTCACCTCTACAATTTTGTTGACTGAAGGGCAGGAGAAGCCGTGAATAACTTCACCGTCCAGTAAAACCTCTCCGGCTCCATTGTAGCCGACGCCTGTCACCTGCAAGACAACACCGAGGGCGGACAACAAAACACCAGCTGAATACAAAGTGTATATAACAACACATACATGAGTTTAACTCCAGCTGCTCATCAGTTTCCCAACAGAGCTCAAACACTGAAATGAAGAGGGATGTGACCTTGTATCCATAGCAACAGATGGCAGCAGGCTCCACAGCAACGCACTGCTGCTGTAAAAGCATCTTTACAGACAGCCTGCAGGTAACAGGTACATTCAATGCTGTGTAATTTTCTGTGATTGGGTTGTGGACAAGTTTCAAAATATTTGTAAACACCTGTTTTTCATTTTGGACAATTTTTGAGTCATTTTTGAGGACAACTGACTTTTAAAGTTCAGTTTTTATTTATGATTCCTTGGATTTGTTGAGTTTATTTTTTGCATGTTTATAACTTTAGAGTAAAACTGTCCATAATAAATAACACTGTGGGGTCTTAGTCTTAGTTCTAATATGTATTATAGTCAGGTAAAGTTGTATTTTAGATGCATTTTTTAGGGTTGTAATCAATAATAATTAAATTACTAGGGTAAATTCACACCATAAATAACACAGTAGGGTCTCAACCCAATAATTATGCCAGTTATGTTTTTATTTACTGGAAAGCTGTTCTTTACAGCTGTTCTACTTTAAATGTGCTGTATAAATAACAGTGACTGGATGTCATCTTCACATCACACAGTGTGATGTCGGCAGGTTTAAACCAGAATTCGTCCTCTGGTCCTGACACAGTTTTCCAGCAGTTTTCTGGCTTCTGGGATTTCCAGAAGGAGGAAGTGGGTCGGCATGTTCTCTGTGGGCTCAGAGATCGACGCCACGTTACAACACCAGTCTCCTTTTAGTAATAAGTGATCTGGTTGGACAGATTAACCAGAAAAAAATTGGAACATCTCTCCATTAAATACATAATAAAATTGCTTTTACTGGTATTTTGCATATGATCGAATTCTATGCTGCGATAATTCAGTCTGTTCTCTGCAGTTCAGTTATTGTCTGGTTTGGATCAGCAACCAAAAGGAACAGACTGACTGTGTTTCATATGAAAACTCTACTCTTTGCTCTTTTAGTTGTACAGTTTAGTTGTCATTTTCCTTCTGCAACCTGTTGCCTTTTGTCCCCTAAATGTTCATATTTTATATTTTGTAAAAAACCATGGCGAAATTCCTTGTACGTGTTAACATACTTTGGCAATTAAGCCGATTCTGAAAATGAAAACTGTCCCGAAAACAACTTTTTGGACTTGGCTTCGAGTCGAGAGGTTATGGAATCAGAGTTAAAATTCTGTCTCGCAGACCGCTTTAATTTAAAGACAGTGTGTGTTAGTTTTGTTAACCGATAATTGCCGGCATTATCAATCAATGGTGGTGTAATCAATGAGACAACGTGAACTCCATGGTCATTATTCTATGTCCTGGGGCAACTGTCTTTTTTTTTTTTTAGACATGCCGTGTAGAGTGTATGAAATCAGCCACTAAACCACAGTGATGCCATCTTTGTGCACTGCAGCTCACTTACAAATCAAATACTCTGTCTGGTGAGCATTAAGCGTCACAGGACACTTTCTTACGGTGGTACTTAATTTGCTAAATTCCCATACTGATCTCTCTAACTTAGCATGGATTTGAGTGAGGGTCTCACTGTTAAACAGTAGGAGGTGGTGGAACAACCAGGTACTACAGCCAATCTACAATACATATATTTTTCTTCAGTTAAATTAAAAGCGGCAAATAATCAATTAATGATTAATAATTAACATCTCACATTATCAGGTCCCAACTTCCTCATTAATTATTTAAAGCCTTTGCCTTCAACCATGTTGATGAACTATGGCATCTGTGTTGTAGTATTATTATTTATCCCATTTGTTGTTTGAGAGGCTTTCTGAAACAGTCAAAAACCTTGTGATATAACAAATATTTTATTAGTAAATTATAGCCTGCATTACAAAATTATACTTTTTTTCTTTTGCAAAACTCTGTCACCTGAAAAATGGAGAAAAATCGATCACTTTGCTCAAAAATACAAAAATTAAATAGATTGATAAAATTAGACACAGCGCACTCCATAATTATTGGCACCCCTGGTTAAGATGTGTTAAAAGCCTTAAAATAAATTCTTTTTTATTGCAGAAGCATACTCTCACACTGAAAATTGTTGAAAAATGTAACCTTCAACTCAACTCAAATGAATTGTTGGCAAAAGGGGGTTGTACAAAGTATGAACATCAAGAATGCTAATAATTGTGGCACACATGATTTGATGTAAAAGAATTATTTTTTAATGTGGGATTTTTTTCACACTGAATAAATGCACTTGAATTAAAGGTTGAATTTTCCTCTTTTTTTTTTTCATTGTGGTCCCATATTATTTAGAAAAAAAATTGAATTTACTAGAAGCTAAAGAACACATCTTAACCAGGGGTACCAATAATTATGGAGGGCGCTGTAGGGAAAAAATCTATATAAATAAACACAAAAAAATATCATAAAAGGAATAATTTTCTATAGATATTTTTTACTTTTATATATATGGATATATATTTTATATTATTTTTCTATTTATATATTTATTTTAGCTTCATAGTTTGTTTGAAGACACCCTTCTCTGCCTGCTGCTCCAGCCAGTTGTTTTCTGGTTCAATCACCTGCTGCAGCTTGTCATTGATTTGAAAAACACAGATGTACAGTTGTGAGATTTGCAAATACCACCGCCTGAGGAAGATGTTATTGATCGAAACGCTGCAACGCAAGAAAGCACTGAGGGAGCCTGGCACGATTTCAGGTGTTAAACTGATCCAGAAACAGAGACAACAAAGCTTTGAGTCGATCTAACTTCAGGCATTTCCTGTAGTGATGCTGGTAACGGAGGAGGCTGACCTCAGCGTGGAGTCCGTCCGACGTGAATAGCTGAGTGACGGTCATCTCGTTCTTGGTCAGAGTTCCCGTCTTGTCTGAGCAGATCACATTACAGCAGCCTGACAGCAAAAAAGCTAAATGTCAGCACATATCCTACATCCAGATTTTGTGCAATTGTCAACTCTGGTGGAAACTCTGTTTGCAAAGGAGCTAAATAAACTTGTTCATAAGTTCCTGCGCTGACAGTCCGCTGGTTTTCTATCCGACAGAAGAATGAAATAAAGGGAAACCGACCCAGAGTTTCTACGATGGGAAGCTTCTTGACGATGGCTCTCTTCTTGACCATTCGCATCACGCCGAGCGCCAGCGTCACCGTCACCACGATGGGTAAACCCTCTGGGATGGCAGCGACCGCCAGGCTGAAGGAGACAGAGCAGAGGGAGGTTTATTAGGATAAGTTTAAAACAGGGAGGATGTTAAATATTAATAACTGAATTAGATTTAAATCAATTTGTTTTTATTGTTTTAGAATTTTTTAAAATGTTTTCTTGTCGCCTGTTTTCATGATTTGTTTTTCTAATGTTTTCTTGTCAGTTGAATGTTTTCTTTTGTAAAATGTTTTAATGGTTTTTAAAGTTTGGATGTTTTTTTCACGTTTTATTGTCTTTTCTTATATTGCGTTTTTTTTTTGTGCTTTGTCTTTTCTAATATTTTATCTTTTTTTATGTACTATAGTCTTTTCTCAAATTTGCATCTGCATCATATTTGCATCATTATCATTTTTCATGTATTATTGCTGCCCATTTTTCATGCTTTTTTTGTTTTCTTTTCATTTAAATGATTTTTTTCTTTAGTCTTATTTTTTGTTTTTAATGTTTAATTGTTGTATTTAATGCTTTGTCTTCAATATCTTAGTGTTGCCACTCCTTTTTAAAAAAAAATAAAAAATGTTTTATTGCTTTTCCTAAATGTTATGATGCTGTTTTACTGTGCTGTTTGTCTTTTCTAATGTTGTGTAGTCTTATGCATTGCTGTTTTTTTTTTTTTTTTAGTTTTATTGTTTGTTTTTTTCAAATGTTTTGTTGTTTTGTAATATGTCATTGTCTTTTCTTAGGTATCATTGTCTTTTGCGATGTTCGGTTATTGGGCCTTTTTTCTGAATACCAATAATTGATATCTGCCCTGATAAAATCATACTGGTTGCTCCCTACTCAGGACAGAGGGTGTTGTGCTCTGTACAGATTGTAAAAGCAAATCTAAGAAATGTCAAATAAAATGACCTTGACTTGTAGGAGTGACTTTGAAAATGCTGAATTCTTCCTGTAACTGAAGATGTTAACGTCTGTTTTATTAAAATGTTTTCCAAATCAGCCTTCGTACATAAAAGCAGGCTTTGACTCTGCCACAGCAGAATTAACTCATGATAACAGCAGTGTTTAACGAGCCAAGGGTCAGTTATCTTTAATGTGATAACAGGAGCTGATGCAGGGTTCAATCATTTACTTTGGCTCTGCTGCAGCTCGACGTTAAAGTGGCTACCTGACTCCGATGGTGAACATGTCCAGGATCCTCTTCCCCTGCAGCCAGCCCACTAACATGATGACCCCTGAAACACAGCAGCACAGAGTGAGCTCAGAGCAGACAGAAAAACACCCAACACAGAGGAGCCACAAACTCACCGATGATACCGAAGGAGTAAAGCGACAGCTGCTTCCCCAGCAGATCCATGCTCTTCTGTAACGGAGTCTTCGGAGCCTGAAGAGAGACAGAAGAGTTGTCATCAGAGGAGGCTTTTAGAAAAAGGCAATGAGCTCTGTGGTGGACAAACGTGGACACAGCATTCGGTTGTCTTTATTTCATTTATAGAGTTTATTTTATGTGTTGATTAAAAGGACAAAATGTTCTCAAAGCCTTCACCAGTGAGGCTTTAAGTTCTTGTGGAAAATACCTTAAAAAAATGTAAAATCCAAAAAAATGTCAACAATTTCCCTGAGCTCTCCACCAAAGGGATCAATACAGTTCTATTTTATTCTATCTTGTGTTGCATTGTGGATAAAATTAGATGAAATTAAAATTAATTATGATACATACTGAAGGATACACAAATATTTTAACAATACTGAATATTAGGTATTTATGAATAATTGTTAGTTTTTTTTGACATTTTACTGTTGCCTTGAAAAGAATGTATATTTTATTATCATTTATTGTCATTTCAGATGTTTACTGTTTTCTGTCTTTAATATTTATTGTCTTTTCTAATGTCTTGCTGTCTTTATAATTTAATAATGTTGTCATCTTTTTCTATTATATTCTCATCTTTTCTCAAGTTTTACTATATACTTTGTTTTTGTGTTATTGCTGTACATTTAAAAATATTATGTCCTAACACTTTATTGCCTTTTTTTCTTGTTTTCTTGTCTTTTCTAAAATTTGTTGACTATTTTCGTGTTTTATTGTTGCCCCCCCTTCAATATTTTATTGTCTTTTGTAATGTTTTATTGTCTTTATAATGTTTATTGTGGCTCTTTTAATGCCTTCTTTGCTTTTCTAATACCTTCTCATCTTTTCAAACCTGCTGAAAGTGGGTTGAAGGGCTACTTTATCTCTGACAGTATTTGATTTATAAAGCTAAAATTTCACAGATACCATTTTAACTATTTATAGTTTATAATGAAAAAGTTTCACGCAAATCAGAGATGGTCGAGCAGAAGGCTGCTGCTGCTGATTTGAGATTAAATATATGTATTTCAGAAAATAGCATCTAATGATCACTGCAGAAGTCGAGTTGCTGCTTCAAGTCTCTCATGATGTTGATTTACACCCAGATAAAATGTAGGAACTCATACCTCTTCAGCTTGCATCATCTTGAACACTTCTCCAAACTCTGAGTTCTCTCCAGTTCCAATGACAATGCCCTGAGGAGCAGTTCAACAGCTTTAAACAGATATCACATAGGTCACACACATCACACATGGTTTGCATTACATCCTATCTGTTGTGTTTGTGTGCCTTCCATGATGGATTCATTTTATGTTTTCTCATTTGCTTGTCATCTTTTGTGAACCCTAACAACAAAGAAGATTATATGTTACATTTAAGTGGTAAAACAAAGAGTTTCTTAAAGACACCTTTTTTCAGAGGAGAGTTGAAATGTTTTTGAGAAACTCTAGCAAGTTCAGCTGTCTTTGTTTAACCACTTCAATATACCACAACCTGAATGACTATGACTCTACATGGACATTATAAGCTGAATACTCTTCCTCTCCATGGTTTCCTCATCACACCTAAATGGCATTATATATCAACCAGAAACTGTAAAAACTGAAAAAAATAATTGGATTTTCAACTTACTGATAGCTCTTAAACTACTCATCTGTGACATGCCATTATGGCAGAAAAAATGAACCAAATCTGAGCTTAAAATCAGTATACAA